TCCGCTGCACTCCCTCTATGGCCAGTATATTCTTCCTTTGGCCATCTTTTCTGGGATATAAAAATGAGGAAATCTTCCTAAAGCTATACCAGGCACTAGAGTCATAGAGTCATAGAGCTGTACAGCATGGAAAAATACCCTTCGGTCCAACTCATGCATGCCAATCAGATATCCTAAATTAATCCAGTCCCAATTGCCAGCAGTTGGTCCATGTCCCTCTAAACCCTTCCTATTCATGCACCCATCCAGATGCCTTTTAAATGTTGTAATTGTACCCTCCTCCATCACTCCCTCTGGCAGCTTGTTCCATGTACGCACCACCGTCGGCGCGAAAAAGTTGCCTCGTACGACCCTTTTGTATCTTTCTCCTCTCACCTTAAACCTATGCCCTCTAGTTTTGGACTCCCCTACTCTTAGCTCTTCACATTATCCATGCCCCTCATGATTTTATAAACCTCTAAAACGTCATCCCTCAGCTTCTGACACTCCAGGGAAAATAGCCCCAGCTGATTCAGCCTCTCCCTGTAGCTCAAACCCACCAACCCTGACAACATCCTTGTGAATCTTTTCTGCTCCCTTTCAAGATTCACAACATCTTTCCTGTAGCAGAGTCAGACCATAGCTAGAATATTGTGAACAGTATAGTCTCCTTAGCTAAGAAAAAAAATATTAGCATTGGAAGCAGTCCAGAGAAGGTTCACCAGGTTGTTTCTGGGTATGGTGGGATTTTTTCCATGAGAAAGGGATGAATTAGATTGGGCCTGTACTAATTGGAGTTTAGGAGAATGAGAGGACAGCTGATTGAAACAACACAGTGATGTGTAATCTCTCAATATTTCAAATCTTAATTCTAGGTATTGTTATTTTCTCTCCTTTTTGTAGAAATGTGAGTAGTGCTGTAAGACATGCATTCTTAGGGGCCTCAGCAGGGAGAGAGGTTGCTTCTCCTTGTGGGAAGAGTCTAGGACAAGAGTATAGCCTCAAAGTAAAGGGTCACTCATTTAAACCAGAAATCTTATCTCTCAGTAGGTGGTGAATCTGCGGAATTCTTTACCACAAAGTGATGTAGAGGCTGTATTGTTAAGTATATTCGTGGCTGAGATAGACAGATTCTTAATCAGGAAGGGGATCATAGGGAAAAGGCAGAAAAGTGGAGTTGAGGGTTATCAGATAAGCCATGATTTTATGGAATGGTGGAGCAGACTTATAGGACTGAACGGCTGATTGCTCCAACATCTAATGATCTTATGATCGAGGGACCAGAGCTGCACACAATATGCTAGATGCAATCCAACCAGTGCTCTTTAGAACTGAAGCAAGACTTTTTGATCCCATACTGAAATCTTCCTGTTTTAAATTGCTTGCTGCATCTGCTTCTAGTTTTCAGTGACTCATGAACAAATACACCTAGGTCCCTTGGATATCAACATTTTCCAGTCTTCCATCATTTATGAAATACCCTGTTTCTCTTTTCAAAACGGACAATTTAATATTCCGTCTGGCACACTCATTTGCTCAGGCTGTCTTAATCCCATTGAAGCCTCTTTGCACACTCCTCACAACTCGTATTTCTAATAAGCTTTGTATTATTTGCAAACTCAGAAATATTACATTTAGTCCCCATGTCAAAATTATTGATATAGATTGATAACAGCTGGGGCCCAAGTATTGATCTTTTGAGTACCTCACGGGTCACAGCCTGCTAACCTGACAATGTTTCTTGCCCTCTGCTTTCTACATGTCAACCAATCCTCATTCCATGCTAATAAACTATCCCCAATGACATGCACTTTAATTTGGTTTATCCAAAATTTTCTAAAAATCCAAATAATACACACCCACTGATTCCCTAATATCTACCCTTCTAATAATAGTCTATCAGCTTTGACAAACATGATGTCCTCCTCATAGGTCTACATTGACTTTTTCCACTCAGACAAATTGATTCTCATCTAACATTTTTTAATTGTATAGTGTTTTTCTGAGATCTGAATAATGTAATGGACACTGAGCAAAAAAAGGAGATTGTAGGAAAGGTGGATCAGATAGATGAATTTTAAAGAGAATATTAAATGATATGTGACAGAGAGGTTTACAGAGGGATTTTTTTGTTTAAATCTGGGAAATGGGAGTTGCTGGCTAGTCTCGTATTTATTGGCCATCCCTAGTTGCCCAGGGGGCAGTCAAGATTCATAAAACAGAATCATAGAATTCCTACATTGGGGAAACAGGCCATTCATCCCAACAAGTCTACATTGACTCTCTGATGAGCATCTCACACAGACTCACACCCCTACCCTATCCTACCCTACCCTATTCCTGTAGTTCCCATACTAATCCACCTAACCTATCCATCTCCAGACACTATGGGCAATCCACCTACCCCGTACATCTTTGGACTGTGGGAGGGGACCCACGCTGACACAGAGACAATGCACAAACTCCACACAGTCACCCATGGCAGGAATTGAGCCCAGGTGCCTAGTGCTGTGAGGCAGCAGGGCTAACCACTGAGCCACTAGTCCTTGCATATTCATGTGCTTATCTAAAAGTCCCTTAAACACTCCTATCATATCTGCCTCCACCACCCACCCCTGGCAGCGCGTTCCAGACTCCTACCATTCTGTATAAAAGTCCTGCCCCTCACATTGCCTTTGAACATTCCCCCCTCACTTTAAAGGCATGCCCCCTAGTTTTAAACATTTCAATGTTGGGAAAAAGCTTCTGACTGTCAACCCTATCTATGCATCTCCTAATTTTATAGACTTCTACCAAGTCTCCCCTCAGCCACTCCAGAGAAAACAACCCCAGTTTTTCCAACCTCTCCTTGTAGTTCATGCCCTCTAATCCAGGCAGCATCCTGGTAAAACTCTTCTACATCTTCTCCAAAGACTCCACATCCTTCCTGTAATGTGGTGACCAGAATTGAACACAATAAAAGGTTAGTATGCAGGTACAGTAAGTGAGGAATGCAGTTTCCTTCCCTAAAGACAATTAGTGAACCAAATGAGTTTTTTTTCTCCTGAGAATCAGCAATACTTTCACAGTCATGGTGGGATTTGAACCTACGATCGGATTACTGGGTTCATGGGTTAATAGGCTAGTGCTAATACCACTGGGGACCATTGGAACAGAATATTTAAACAGCTGAAAGCAGGTTTGCAAACAATGGGAGTAGAGGAGTCTGATAAACCTGCTTTGAAGTGCTTCCAACATCCTACCTGAAAGAAGGTAACTAGTATAGTACACAATACTCCAGATGTGGTCTCACCCAGTGCCCTCTATAATTGAAGACTAACCTCCCTACTTTTGTATTCAATTCCCCTCAAGATAAATGATAACATTCTATTAGCTTTTCTGATTACTTTCTGTGCCTGCGTACTCACCTTTTTTGCGATTCATGCACTAGGACACCCAGAGCTATTTATGTCTCAAAGCTCTGCAATTTCTCACCATTTAAATGATACACTTTCTTTTTATTCTTCCTGTCAAACTGACAATTTCACGTTCTCTCAAATTATGCACCATTTTCCAAACCTTCGCTGCTCATTTAATCTATCTGTATAATTTTGCAGCCCCTCTTATGCCCTCTTTACAATGTATTTTTCCACCCAGCTTTGTGTTGTCAGCAAATTTAATAAATATATCTTCCTGAATTACTCAGGAACTTGGAGACCGTGTCATTTCCCCCATTGTTTCCATATGGTGATGTCTCAGTAGCCAGCAGGAGGCAGTGGTGAATCACATGGTCCATGTGCAGATTAATCTGTCGGCAGTCCAGGGCAAATGCTTGGAACTGAAGATAGGGGACCAGATGGATGATTTAAGCAATAACACGATCCCTTACACAGCTTTTGTTATCTACCTCTTTCTGGTTTTCATGCATCAGCTAGTGTCAACTAAGAAAATTTCACATTAGCCGTGCACCTGTGCCTGCTGACTGAATAGGGTCTGGTTTGTTGCTATATATGGAGAAAGACTGGCAGACAAGTTGATGTTCATTTTTAGAACGGGAATGTGCAATTATAACTGAAGGATGCTTACTGGAGGTTTTACCAGGATAGTCATTCAATATTGTGGGCATTTGATGAGGTTTCCCCATAGTCCAATATCCCTTGGGTGCAAACAACAACAACTTAGATCTCTATGACAACTCTTGCTGTGAAAATTTCCAAGAAACTCCAGAGGAGTGTCAATAGACAAACTAGACCCCGAGGCGCTTTGGGAAGTAAAGGAAAGCTGGTGAAAAGTTTGGTTAATGAGTTAGGGGCATCTTAAAGCTCATTAATAAAAATACAAATTTTACCCACAAAACTGAAAAAGAATTAACAGCAAGATTTTAATCACTCACCTTGCAATTTTGTTACAAGAGAGAGGGTTATAGAGGGAATTCCAGAGTTTGGGACTAAGTGCATGGCCAACAATGGTGCAATTATGAAAAGTGGTAATGAAGGAGAACAGAATCTTCAGTTGGTTTGTAGAAGAGGGGGGAGGTAGATAGAGTTGACGTTGTGGAGGAGTTTTGAAAAAAAGGGTGAGAATTTCATGTTACTGAGTTCCAAAATATTGACCACGGTACCTCGCTTGTCAATCGACACTCCAGCGAAGCTTCTTGGAAAGTTTCACAGCAAGAGGCGTTACAGAAATCTAAGTTGTTGTTGCTTGCGCCCATGGGACATTGAGTTACGAGGAAACTGCATCAAATGTCCACTTTGTGAATAATTATTCACCTCTGGATTAATAGTCTAATGACAATACCACTAGGCCCAGTTTCCTGGCATCCTTCTGAAAGCATTGTGCCCCAAACTGAACTCGAACTGAGGCCAATCCAGTTTCTCCAATTCTCAATAAAGCAACCAATCCTGGCGTCTTCTTTTTTTTGTAATAGCTTTGTGACACCTCCTTCGAAAGTAATCGCCTACGCTGAGCGTGCCCTGCAACTTCAGTGACAGTGGAAACTGAAAGACAAGCTTTCTAATTTCTTTTCTCCCTCACAACAGCCTCATATACGAAGTGTGCCACAGCTGTTTCAAGAAGCAAGCTAAACTCCAGCGCTGTGGACAGTGCAAGTTTGCACACTACTGTGACCGGACCTGTCAGAAAGCAGCATGGACCGAGCACAAGAATGAATGTGTTGCCATCAGGAACTATGGCCAGCCCACCAATGAGACTGTCAGGTGAGTCTAAACCGCTGCTCCCTACCACCTTGCAGAACCTACATCTGCTTCTCGAAAGGACAAAGCGATTGAAGCAAACTGGAGGGATGCTACAGATGGATAGAGGAAGGGTAGAATGGACATCGCATATGCTGAATACATAACTCAGGTTAAAAGTCCTAAGGTATTACTAATCATGGAGAATGATCACTTTCTGGTCACTGAATGTTGCACTCTGAGGCCCTCAAAACAGAGTCAATTAGAGGGTAGGAATTTTCCATTTATTTTGGGTAAACTGGGGACTTAGATTATAGGAGCAGAAGCAGGCCATTCAGCCCATTAGCGTCTTCTCTGCCATTCCATTCCAGCTGACCTGATAATCCTCAATTCCAGCTCCCATCTTTTCTTCAGAACCCTTGACCCCCTTACTGGTTAAAGCTGTCTTACTCAGATTTGAATATATTCAATGATCCAGGCCCAACAGCCCTCTGTGGAAAAAAATCCATAGATTCATTATCCTCTGAGAGAAGAAATTCCCCTTATCATTGCCTTGAATATGGTTTAATCGAGTGATACTTTTGAGTTAGACAAGAGCTTACTTGATTGCCCCATGAGGTCGGAGAGGAATTTTCCCAAGATGTTTCCTCAAATGGGCCACAGCTTTTTAACTTGATTCTTAATTTTACTCTCGCAGGAGATTGCAAGTTTTTTTTAAATCTCTGCTGTTAATGTTTTGTGGTTATAACTTTCATGGCTAGCATTTTCTGCACAGTCTTAATGGCCCTTTAACTCAGCAGCTTGTCTGGCCTATTCAAAGGCCAGTGAAGAGTCAACCATTGGTTTGGAATCATTGTAGACCAGACCAGGTAAGGATGGCAGATTGCCTTCCCTTAAGAGTATGAGTGAACCAAGCAAGTTTTTAAACAACAATCAATGATAAATCTCATTGTCACCAACACCAAAACAAGTTTTCACTGAAATTAAGCTCACCCAGCTGCCATGATGAGATTTGAACCCTAGACACTGGAGCATTAACCTGGA